CAAATTTTTCAACAGAATGTCACTCTGCTTTTCCATATCCTCTGGGCATTCTTCAAGTTTGTTAAAAACAGACACCATACTACGAACAATTCTTAAAGCAACCTATAAGTCCTTGGACATCATGATGGCCCTTAAAGACCTCCTGGCCAATAGATTCACTTCTTTATTTGAGCTGTTCTGCCGAACCATGTTGCTACGAGGTGTGCCTCATAAGCACCACACAGGTGTAATTATGTAGGAAAATTGTGGATTTTCTTCACATGACTTGAAAAGATAAGTGCTTATGGTGAATCCTGGAGAGAACTTGTGGATGGCAGCATGAACTATGGCCCAACTTTTATCCAACACAATCATCTTAGGATATGGAGTCTTTGAACCAGGAAGAGGACCACATTTTGTCAGAAAGCGACCAAACATAAACTCTATAGTGTTTGTTTCATAGGAGTCTGACTAATACTCAAACACAGGTAAAACTTTTGTAGAGTTTTTCTTCGGCCTAGTGACTCCCCAGAATAGCATATACTGGCTTGCCATGGACGTCTTCGACCACCTGACCTCGAGCAGGAATACCTGATAGATGGTGAGTTGTGTTGAATGTTGTAGGATTTATATATCATTATTCTACGGTTGGTCACTTGTCAGTTGGTCACATCTTGTTTTTCTTGAAAGTTTACCTGTCTGCTAGAGCATGGTTGTATCGTCAGTTTTCAGTGGAAACCCTGTCGTTGTCAGTCGTACAATAAAAGTCGTTGAAGTTAATCTAACTCTCTACTTTAATTCTGGACACGCCCCATACCTGAAATCTACAGAGTTATGGGCCCAGGTCGCTGAAACTCGAGAATCTATCAGTGCAAGTTAACCATGTTAGAAACGTGCTCTTTTTCTGCTACCATGTCCGAAGCCAACGAAGAACTTCTTCAAGTACTGCGAGGCGTGTCTAACATCTTGAATCAAGACAATTTCGACACATGGGCGCTAAAGGCGGAAGCCGACCTCACTGAGTTGGATGTGTGGAAGGCTATCCGAGGTACTCACTTACAAAAGTGGGTGTACATGCTGTCAAAAAGTGAAAGTGAGAGTGATAAAAAGTGGAGTTAAAGTGAAAAAAAGTTGAGTTAAAGTGCGCAATAGTGAAAAAAGTTTAGTGAAAGTACGCAAAAGTGAACAAAGTTAAGACAAAGTGAAAAAAGTTGAGCAAAAGTGGAAAAAGTGAAGCGAAAGTGAAAAAAGTTGAGCAAAAGTGGGCAAAAGTAAAAAAGTAAAGCCAAAGTGGGCAAAAGTGAAGTGAAGTGAAAGTGGAGTAAAAGTTGATAAAAGTGAAAAAAGTAAAGTGGAAAGTGGCAGGAAATTTGAGCATGTAACATGCAGTTATTGTTAAACGTTCAAAGAAACCTGGGCAGAGGGGGTAGCGTAGAGTGTGTCTCGGTAAATTAGGGTATTCTCCTGAATTGAAAGCAGTGAGAAAGGTGTACCGACCTACGTATTACTACTTACTACCTAGGTAGTACCTACTTTTTAAGGTACTGCTCTAAGCATCTCTAAAACTAAA